GGTCCGTTGGACCAACAGGCCGATTGGTCCATTCGGTCCACTGGACCAACAGGTGAATTGGTCCAACCGGTCCACTGGACCTACAGGCTAGTTGGTCCAACCGGTCCATTGGACCAACAGGCCAGTTGGTCCAACCGGTCCATTGGACCACCATGCTAGTTGGTCCAACCGGTCGATTGGACCAACAGGCGAGTTGGTTCAACTAGTCCATTGGACCAACAGGCCAGTTGGTCCAACCGGTCCATAGAACCAACAGGCCAGTTGGTCCAAATGGTCCATAGGACCAACAGGCCAGTTGGTCCAACCGGTCCATTGGACCAACAGGCGTGTTGGTCCAACCGGTCCATTGGACCAACAGGCCAGTTGGTCCAACTGGTCCATTTGACCAACAGGCCAGTTGGTCCAACTGGTCCACTGAACAAGCAGACCAGTTGGTCCAACCGGTCCGTTGGACCAACAGGCCAGTTGGTCCAACCAGTCCACTGGACCAACAGGCCAGTTGGTCCAACCGGTCCATTGGACCAACAGGCCAGTTGGTCCAACCGGTCCACTGGACCAACAGGCCAGTTGGTCCAACCGGTCCACTGGACCAACAGGTGAGTTGGTCCAACCCGTCCACTGGACCAACAGGCCAGTTGGTCCAACTGGTCCACTGGACCAACACGCCAGTTGGTCCAACAGGTCCACTGGACCAACAGGTTAGTTGGTCCAACCAGTCCATTGGACCAACACGCCATGTGGGTTAACCGTCCATTGGACCAACAGGCCAGTTGGTCCAACCGGTCCATTGGACCAACAGGGGAGTTGGTCCAACCGGTCCATAGGACCAACAGGCCAGTTGGTCCAACCCGTCCACTAGACCAACAGGCCATTTGGTCCAACCGGTCCATTCGATCAATAGGCCAGTTGGCCCAACCGGTCCATTGGACCAACAGCCCATTTGGTCCAACCGGTCTATTGGACCAACAGGCGAGTTGGTCTAACCGGTCCACTGGACCAACAGGCCGGTTGGTCCAACTGGTCCATTGGACCAATAGCCCACTTGGTCCGACTGGTCCTTAGGACCAACTGGCGTGTCGGTCCAACCGGTCCACAGGACAAAGAGGCGAGTTGGTTCATCCGGTCTATAGGACCAACAGGCGTGTTGGTCGAACCGGTCCATTGGACCAAGAGGCGAGTTGGTCCAACTGGTCCATTGGACCAACACTCTTTTGGTACAACCGGTCCATTGGACCAACAGGCAAGTTGGTCCAACCGGTCCATTGGAAAAACAGGCCAGTTGGTCCAACGGGTCCACCGGACAAACTGGCCAGTTGGTCCAACCGGTCCATTGGACCAACCGGCGAGTTGGTCCAACCAGTCCATTGGACCAACAGGCCAGTTGGTCCAACCGGTCCATACGACCAACATGCCAGTTGGTCCAACCGGTCCATTGGACCAACAGGCCAGTTAGTGCAACCGGTCCATTGGACAAACAGGCCAGTTGGTCCAATCTGTCCATTGGACCAACAGGCCAGTTGGTCCAACCGGTCCATCGGACCACAGGTGAGTTGGTCCAACCGGTCCTGGGAACCAACACGTCAGGTGGGTTGACCGGTCCATTGGTCCAACAGGCCAGTTGGTGCAACCGGTCCATTAGACCAACAGGCCATCTGGTCCAACCGGTCCATTGGACCAATAGTCCAGTTGGCCCAACCGGTCCATTGGACCAATAGCCCATTTGGTCCAACCGGTCCACTGGACCAACAGGCCGGTTAGTCCAAGTAGTCCATTGGACCAATAGGCCAGTTAGTTCAACTGGTCCATAGGACCAACTGCCGAGTTGGTCCAACCAGTCCATAGGACCAAGAGGCGAGTTGGTCAACTGGTACATTGGACCAACAGGCTAGTATGTCAACCGGTCCACTGGACCAACAGGCCGGTTGGTCCAACCGGTCCATTGGACCAACAGGCCAGTTAATCCAACTGGTCCTTAGGACCAACAGGCGAGTTGGTCAAACCGTTCCAGTGTACCAACAGGGGAGTTGGTCCAACCGGTCCATAGGACCAACAGGCCATTTGGTCCAACCCGTCCATTGGACCAACAGGCCAGTTGGTCCAACCGGTCCATTGGACCAACAGCCCATTTGGTCCAACCGGTCCACTGGACCAACACGCCGGTTGGTCCAACCGGTCCTCTAGACCAAGAGCCCAGTTTGTCCAACCGGTCCATCGGACCTACAAGCCATTTGGACCAACCGGTCCAGTGGACAAACACGCCAGTTGGTCCAACTCGCCCATTGGACCAACATGCCAGTTGGTCCAACCGGTCCACTGGACCAACATGCAAATTGGTCCAACCGGTCCACTGGACCAACAGGCGAGTTGGTTCAACTAGTCCATTGGACCAACAGGCCAGTTGGTCACACCGGTCCAAAGAACCAACAGGCCAGTTGGTCCAAACGGTCCATAGGACCAACAGGCCAGTTGGTCCAAACGGTCCATTGGACCAACAGGCGTGTTGGTCCAACCGGTCCATTGGACCAGCAGGCCAGTTGGTTCAACCGGTCCAGTGGACCTACAGGCTAGTTGGTCCAACTGGTCCATTGGACCAAAAGGCGAGTTGGTCCAACGTGTCCATTGAAAAAACATGCGAGTTGGTCCTACCGGTCCATTGGACCAACAGGCGAGTTGGTCCAATTGGTCCATAGGACCACCAGGCCAGTTGGTCTAACTGGTCCATTGGACTAACGGGCGAGTTAGAACAACCGGTCCATTGGACCAAAAGGCAAGTTGGTCCAACAGGTCCACTGGACCAACAGGTGAGTTGGTCCAACTGGTCCATTGGACCAACAGGCCAGTTGGTCCAACCGGTCCACTAGACAAGCAGACCAGTTGGTCCAACCGGTCCGTTGGACCAACAGGCCAGTTGGTCCAACCGGTCCACTGGACCAACAGGTGAGTTGGTCCAACCGGTCCACTGGACCAACAGGCCAGTTGGTCCAACCGGTCCGCTGGACCAGCAGGCCAGTTGGTCCAACCGGTCCGTTGGACCAACACTCCAGTTGGTCCAACCGGTCCATTGGACCAACAGGTGAGTTGGTCCAACCGGTCCAGTGGACCAACAGGCCAGTTGGTTCAACCGGTCCACTGGACCAACACGCCAGTTGGTCCAACCGGTCCATCGGACCAAGAGGCCAGTTGGTCCAACTCGTCCACTCGACCAACACGCCCATTTGGTCCAATTGGTCCACTCAACCAACAGGCCGGTTGGTCCAACTCTTCCATTGGACCAACGGGCCAGTTGGTCCAACCGGTCCACTGGACCAACAGGCGAGTTTGTTCAACTAGTCCATTGGACCAACAGGCCAGTTGGTCCAAGCGGTCCATAGAACCAACAGGCCAGTTGGTCCAAACGGTCCATAGGACCAACAGGCCAGTTGGTCCAACCGGTCCATTGGACCAAAAGGCGTGTTGGTCCAACCGGTCCATTGGACCAACAGGCCAGTTGGTTCAACCGGTCCATTGGACCTACAGGCTAGTTGGTTTAGCCTGTCCATTAAAAAAACAGGCGAGTTGGTCCTACCGGTCTATAGGACCACCAGGCCAGTTGGTCCAACTGGTCCATTGGACCACGGCCGAGTTGGTCCAAACGGTCCATTGGACCGAAAGCAAGTTGGTCCAACCGGTCCACTAGACCAACAGGTGAGTTGGTCCAACTGGTCCATTGGACCAACAGGCCAGTTGGTCCAACCGGTCCACTGGACCAACAGGGGAGTTGGTTTATCCGGTCCATAGGACCAACAGGCTAGTTGGTCCAACCTGTCCACTAGACCAACAGGCCATTTGGTCCAACCGGTCCATTCGATCAATAGGCCAGTTGGCCCAACCGGTCCATTAAACCAACAGCCCATTTGGTCCTACCGGTCTACTGGACCAACAGACGAGTTGGTCTAACCGGTCCACTGGACCAACAGGCCGGGTGGTCCAACTGGTCCATTGTGTCACCGCATATGCATGTGATGCATATGCAATAACAGTGGAAGGATGGAACAGGTTGGGTTAGATATGATTAAGCTAGGAAGATAAGTAGATTATATGAATGTGATACAACAAGTAGGAATAGGTGTAGTAGGGAACTCTAGTTACTGTTGGGAAGGGGTGTAGAAGGGGGGAAAAGGATCATGGCGGTTGGATTTGGGAGGGAAAAGCCTCGAGGGGCGAAACCATCTCAAAGTGGTAACACCCCACCCGAGCCGCACATGTGGGAACGTGCAGCTTGGGGTGGGGTAAAGCTGCTCCCTCCCATCCCCTCCTTGCTTACTCGTAAGATATTCTCTTGAACTAGTGAATTCGGTTGACTCAGATTCTAGCACACGACGAGCACGACACTAAGAGGGAACCTACGGGGTGAGAGATTAGACCCTTTCATATCTTACGAGTAAGCCTACGGAGGCTAGGACTGTGATTTCCTTGCACGAACTAGATGGATCGGTGCGAGCTACGGTGGGGTAGGGCGTATAGCCGACATGAGGACGAACGGGAGCGGCGCGAGCCGTCCCGAGAGCGTGGGCGATCCTGGGAGCGATCACCGCGCCGTCCCGCATTCCGCGCCGATCGGGTCTCTGCTGTGAGGGATGGGCGAGGAACAGAGGCGCGAGCGCAGGACGAGGGTCGCACCAGACGCACGGATCAAGATGAGTGGCGCCAGGAGGGCGGACGCGGAGGTGGCGCGGAGGGCGGAAACCACCGTGGCGGTGGGGTATTCCAGTCCCCGGAGGATCGCGGACGACGTCGCGACGAGAGGGGGCGGTGGCTGGTGTTCAGCGAGCACCCCCGCGGAGAAAGAGGGAGCGGCGGTAGCGGTGCTCGCGAAGCGGACGTGCCGCGCAATGCAGCGCGGGAGGAGACGCCGGAGCGGGGCGCGGAGGACGAGGGGGAGGAATCAGGAGGGTCAGACGAGGAGGTAGAAGTAGAAGGGGCGGAGGAGGCGCAGACGGGCGGAATGGTCGCTGCGGACCTCACGCCGGCGGGAGCGCAACCGGAGACGAGCCAGGCGGCGGTCGCGGAATCGGAGGCTCTGCCGCCGGGCTCGCGCGATCGTGACGAGCCCCACAGGGACGGGCGGCACGCGGAGAGCTCCGGACGACAGGAGCACGGTGGGCCGGAGACGAGTGGCCGAACAGGGCGGGCGCCGAATCCGCGCGGCAAGGAGGAGGAGGAGGGGCCACGCTCGACGTAGAGGGAGCGACGCCTCGAAGGAGGGCACATGGGCGCGTTCCGCCCACGCGGTGAGCGTCAGGAGCAGAAAGAGTGGGGCGGCGGCGCTTCGCAGTCGGCAGGACAGCAGCAGCCGCGCGGGGGCAGGGAGCGTGAGGCGGAGCAGACGCCGCCGAAGCGGCACGGTCAGCAGCAAGGTGGGCGCAGCAGCGGCAGGCGCTCGCCAAGCCGGACTAGGCAGAGGGAGCGGAGAGACTGCAGCTGGTCCCGCTCGCCGGACGGGCATCACACGCACAGGGAGCAGTACGCGGGCGAGCGAGCACCAACAGGGCGGCGGCTGCCGCGCACTTGGAGGGAGCACCTGGACGCCTGGTCTCCGTCGCCAGAGAGGTGGCCCCGGCGCGAGACGAGCAGAAGGGAGGGGCGTGGGGTGCACGAACCGCCGACGGTGCAATGGGGACGGACGGAGGGGCGCGGGGAGTCGAGGGAGAGGCGGTACGAGTCCGGCGGAAGCCGACAAGAGAGCAGGACGGAGGGCGGGACTCTGGCGCGAGGGGCAGAGCGGGCACGGGTGAGGGGAGCAGAGAGGGGTCGGTCGGAAGGGGCGAGCGAGGCATGGGGAGAGGGGCGGGGGGGCAGCAACAGCACCCCACGGGTAGAAGTGCCCGCCAGATTCTCGGGTGATCAGCCCGCAGGACCGACCCTGAAGAACTACCTCATGCAGGTGGAGAATGTGCGGTACCGTTGCGACCGGCACTACATGGACCCGGTAGATTTCTTCCTGAGCTTGCCGAACACGTTGGAGGGAGAGGCGGAAACGCTCTACCGGATGAGGATGGAGGAGCTACTGTGGAGGGCAGGGAGGTACGGCGAGGACCCCACCGAGGCGTTCCTGGAGCGGCTGCAGCGGCAATTCCCCGGGCATACGGCCAAGCGCATAAGGGAGTTCCAGGAGTTCAGCAGGGGCCGGACAGAATCACTGCTGACCTACTACAACCGGCTGATAAATGTGGCGGAGGACGTGAGATGCACGGACAGCAGCCTTCTCATCAGCAAGTTCCTGGGGGGCTTGGACGAGGCCTTGGGAGGGGGGCTGAGGATGAGGGTGTATGAACTGGGGGCGGATGCAGGCCTGGAGGAGGTGTTTTCCCTGGCGGAGAGGGTGGAGCTCGCGCAGAGGAAGTTTGAGGCGTATCTCCCCAGGCCAGCAGAGAGGAGCAGGCGGCCCACGTGGGCGGCGGCAATGATACCAGGAGGAGGAGGGAGGACGGAGGGACGGGGGGAGACCGGGACGGACACTAGGACATGCCACCGGTGTGGACAGCCAGGCCATCTGCGCAGGGACTGTAAGAACTGTGACGGGTGTGGGAAGCCGGGACACAGGAAGCGGGAGTGCCCGGATGCGGCCCGGTGTGAAATCTGCAAGAGGCAGGGGCATGAGGCGAAAGATTGCTACCAGAGGGAAGGGGGGAGTAGGAGGCATCCGGAGGAGCTGCAGCGGCAGATCAGCAGGCTGCAGGCACAGCTGAGGGCAACCGGGCTGAGGGGGGAGGCGGAGGCAGGAATGTACGCAGGGGACAGGGGAGAGGAGGAGGTGGAGCAGGATGTGCAGTGTGCTCTCATGGCATGGAGGGGGAGGGAGGAAATGGGGCTGAGGAGCGGGGGCAGGGACGGCAGGCGCGAGCAAGGAAGGAAGGAGCAGGCGAAGGGGGAGAAACCGGCCGAGCCAGCCCTGGAGCCAGCCCCAGCACGCCATCCCCAAGAGAGGCTGGCATGCCAGACCTCGGTGCTGCTGCTTGAGAAGGGGGCAATGGAGGTGGAGGGAGTGAAGGTGAAGACGGCCATCATAGATACAGGGGCGCAGAGTGTGATGTTGGGCAAGGGGATGGCTGAGAGGCTGGGTTTGCTGGCTCCGGAGAGGCACGTGGCCAAGGGGATGCTGGTGATGACAGCGGAAGGGGGGGAGCCGAAATGGATGCCATGCACGCGGACGCCCATAGAAGTGACGCTGCTGCCGGGGGGGGAACATGAAACCAAAATCCGCATGAAGTGTGGGATTTCCGAGTCGGAGGACTTTGATGTGCTAGTGGGCACCGAGCAAGTGTATGCGGTAGGGATGAACATCTGCACATGGACGGAGAGGGTGGAGTTCAGGACTAGATACTGGAAGAAGGAGGGGCCGCTGGGAGAACTGCTAGTGCGATTCGTGAAGGTGGAGCCGAAGAGAGCCTACCAGGCCGTGGGGGAGCGGCTGCCAGAGGAGCAGGGAGGGCCGTTAAGGAAGGGAGGAGCGCCCAAGATGAGGGAGATGGACCAGCCGCAGCGGCAGAGTGATTGGCAGCAGCCCATCCACCTGGTGGAGTTATTTGGGGGGATAGGGGCAGGGCTGTCCGCGGTGGTGAAGAATGGGATAGCAGTAAAGAGATGGACATATGTAGAGAAGGAGCTCGGGGTGAGGAGGATAGCAGAGCACCATGCCAGGAAGCTGCAGGCAGAATTCCCGGACCTGCTGAGTGAGGAGGTGATCAGTAAGGCGATGGGGGGGACGGTCCACGATGTGAAGGACATAGGGGAGGCCGTAGTGGCGAGCTGGGGGCAGGTGGATCTGCTGGTAGCAGGGTGGGAATGCCAAGGGGTGTCTTGGGCAGGCAGGGGCAAGGGGGGAGAAGACCACCGGACAGGGCTCATGGGGAATCTGTTCCGTGTACTGGAGTGGCTGCAGGAGAGGCAGGGTAGGGTAGCATACCTGCTGGAGAACTTGGACCTGGAGGGGGATAGCAGAGAGCCAATCCGACTAGTGAGGGACAGGATCAGGGGGCAGCTGGGTGCAGGGGTGAGCTGTGATGCGGCCAGAATGGGGTCTTATGCACACAGGCTCAGGATGTATTGGCAGAATGTGATCCCGGCCGAGCAGCTGCAGGCAGAGATAGAAGGGGTAAGGCGAGCAGCAGGAAGGAAGGTGCAGGACATACTGGCGCCAGGGCGGACCCCAGCACCGGTGTGTCGCAAGAGCTACAGCAGGCACGAGCAGTGCAACCGAGTGGGGCAGGAGAGGAGGGCCCTGCCCACGCTGGTGGCGTATGTGGGGGCAGCAGGGTATAAGTGGGAGGAAGGGAAGCCGGGCCCGGGGATGGTGTACGACCACAAGAAGGGGGGATGGGAGGAGCCCACGGCACTGGAGTGGGAGCTAGCTATGGGATATGGGGAAGGTGCAACAGCAGCGCCAGGGGCAAGTGAGGCGGACCGGAGGAGGGCCTTGGGGAATGCCATGGATGGCCACGTGATGAGATGGCTGATTCAGCGCATGTGGCGAGAGATGGTAGTGAGCTGGGGGCAGGCGGAGGAAAGGGGAAGGACGGAGGCAGAGCCACGAGGTGCATGGAGCTGCCAGGAGAAGGAGGAGGAGAGCTGGGTGGTGGGGGAAGCAATGAGCAAGGAAGGAAAGGAGGCTATGCAGGAGCTGCTCGCCAGGCACAGGAAGTGCTTTGCCTTCACCATGCAGGAACTAGGGAGGTGCAGGGTGAAGGAGATGGAGCTGAAGCTGAGCAGCTCCGAACCGGTGTTCCAACGCAGGAGGAAGATGCCGCCGGGGGATGAGGAGATCTGCAAAGAGAAGATTCAGGAGCTGCTGGAAGCAGGACTGATTAGGAGGTCGGAGTCCGAGTATGCCACGCCCACAGTGGTGGCGGCCAGGAGGGACCTGACAGGGGAGGTGCTGAGCAGGAGGATGTGTGGGGACTACAGGGCACTCAACAAGATCACAGTAGCAGACAGGTACCCGATGCCGATGGCAGAGGAGATCTTCGACAAACTGGCAGAGGGGGTGTTCTTCACCACGCTGGACCTGTGGCAGGGGTTTAACCAGATCAGGATCCGGGAGGAGGACATCAGGAAGACGGCCTTTCATGGGCCAGACGGGCTGTACGAGTGGTTGTACATGCCGTTCGGATTGCGGAACGCATCAGCAGTGTTCCAGAGGGTCATGGACAGCGTGCTGCGGGGAGTGGAGTGCGCGGCCTGCTACATAGATGACGTGGTGATTTTCAGCACCACAGAGCAGCAGCACCTGGAGGATGTGGAGCGGACCCTGGCGGCGATTGAAGCAGCAGGACTCACCTGCCACCCGAAGAAGTGCAGGTGGGGGGAACAGACAGTGCAGTACCTGGGGTATGAGGTCAAGGGGGGACAGATAGGGATCCAACAGGCCAAGGTGGAGGTCCTGGACCGACTGAGGGAGCCAAGGGACAAGTCGGGGCTGAGAGCGGTGCTGGGCTTCTTGAGCTACTACAGGCGGTTTGTGCCCAACTTCAGCAAGAGAGCAGCGGTGTTGAATGGGCTGCTGCGAGAGGACAAGGCGTGGGAGTGGGGAGAAGCGCAGAAAGGGGCACTGCAGGACCTGATGGCTGCAGTGAAGACCACCACAGTACTCAAGCTGCCAGCTGCTGATCAGCCGTTCACGCTCTACACCGACTGGAGCAGCCAAGGAATGGGGGGGATCCTCTGCCAGGAGGTGGAAGGAGAGGAGAAGGTGGTGGCATACGCGAGCAGGAGTTGCAACTCGGCAGAGGCACAGTACAGCTCCTACATCGGGGAGGGGTTGGCAGCCGTGTGGGCAGTAGGGCATTTCCGGGTGTACTTGCAAGGAAGGGAGTTCACCTTAGTGACAGACCACCAGCCCCTGACATGGCTAATGTCAACCCCAGGACTGACGGGCAGGAATGCGAGATGGGCAATGAAGCTGCAGGAGTACGACTTCAAGATCAGGCATCGGCCAGGAAAGACACTGCAGCACGTAGATGGCCTTTCTCGGAATCCCCCACCGCTCGAGCCCACTGTGACCCTGACGATGCTGGCCAGGTTGGTAGAGCTGAATGGGGCCAAGGAGGGGAAGGGGCCAGCAGATATCTGGGAGGACGGACCGGCCATGCGATGGGTGAAGGGAGAAACAGGAGAGGACGAAGTGCTGCCCGCCCGGGTGAGGGCGAGAGGCCAGCACTACAGGTGGTACCAGCAGCAGCTGCAGGTTCAGACAGAAGACGGATGGAAGCTGGTGCCGGCTCCTACTGAGAGAGAAGCCGTGATTAAGGAGGTCCACAACAAGCTAGGGCACTTTGGGCACGAAAGGACAGTGCAGCTGCTGAAGACGGGGTGGTGGTGGGAGGGAATGCGGAGGCAAGTAAAGGGGTGGGTGGAGGGCTGTGAGGCCTGCCAGAGGAGCCGGCCCAACCTCACCCAAGCTAAGGCAGAGCTGCAGTCGCTGCCCATCCGAGGCCTGGGCTTCCGATGGTCCTTAGACTTAGCGGGGGAGCTGCCACTGAGCCGTGGGGGGAAGCAGTACATCGTGCTCATGGTTGAGCATGTGAGCAAGTGGCTGGAGGTGCGAGCGATCCCGAGCAAGAGTTCCCGACACGTGGCAGCAGCATTCAAGGAGCAGGTGGTGTGCAGGTTCGGGGCATGTGCAGAGGTCCTCACGGATCAGGGGACAGAGTTTCAAGGGGATTAAGAAGCTGCTGGAGGAGGCGGGGATCACCCACAGGCGTACGTCACGGTATCACCCACAGAGCGATGGACTGACTGAGCGACTGGTGCAGACCTTGAAACGGGGGCTGCGAGCGTA